TCGCTGCTGGGGCTCACGCTGGGCATCAGTCAGCGGGTGGTGAGCAGCTGCATTGTGCCATCACTTGTATATTCTTTTGTAATTATTGTTATTATCTTCTTCTGCTGTTCTATGAAACTGTCTTTATCTCAACCCACTGGTTTTACTTTTTTTTTTCCCAATTCTCTTCCCCCATCCCACTGGGGAGGAGGGCAGAGTGAGCAAGTGGCTGCATGGTGCTTAGTTGCTGCCTGGGGTTAAACCACAACAATTTTGTCCTTGTGTTTGGAGTGGGAAAGAAACAGGAGAATTGGGAGCTAAAAATGGAGCTGTCAGAGATAGGAGCTAGAAATCAATAAAAAGATGAGGGGGGGGGGAGGATTGAGGCATTAGGTGCGAGAAAAAACCCCACTCAAGTCCACTGAAGTAGCTATAGCTCGTGTTGGATAGAGCACCAAAGTAACAGAACATGAACGGCTACAGAAATAGTTGTTTAAAATCTACTGGATGATCTTCCCATCGCCCCCTTTAGTTACAGTGCTGTACTGAATTATTTAGAGCAGAAACTACTGAAGAACATACTCAGAATCCTTCAGCAGCTCTGGTGCCCAAGTTTGACTGATTCCTGTCTGAGGAATTAGCTTGTTTTAGATTATTGCTACATTATAGAAAAGTACTAGCAAATTGTGCATATATGGATGCATATTTCAAAATCCATCACTTGATGATAGCATAAGACCACTTTCTGCCACCTAATCCTTCAGGTTGGCTTTCTCAGTCAAGACAGACCCAGCTGTAATTTATTTCTTTACCTGAAACAAGGTTTGTCACTTCCTTCCATGTTAGTAGCAAGCAATTTTTACATTAGACTGGGTTCTTCAACATGTTATTTGCTTTTGGTACTAGGGTGATGGTACAAAGTACAAGGAACTGTGTACTCTTGTAGGTGGACCAACAATTTTAAATCAGTGAGTCTCCTTGCGATTTCCTTCACTGTTCACCATATACCTAAGGCTTTGGAATGCTCTGAAAGTGCTTATGTGCTCTGGCCCAAGGCATACTGTGGCAGGTCAGTTCTCTGCAGGCAGTTCCTTTGGGAATAGCTAGTTGGCACAGACTAGAGCAACTTGAATCCAAGGAGGACTCTTAATTCACCTTCCCTTCATAATTTTATTTCAGTTTATGGGGGCAAATTTTGCAAACATGCAGTATGCTTAATTCAGAGAAAGATTAATGGATCCTCTTGTGCAGTTCCATGGATTGCCGCTTGGAGTCAGGCTATAGAGAAGGAATGAAAAAGTTCTGAGAACTATTTATCTGTTACCAAGAAATTGGCATGGAAATATTTCTGGTCAACTGGTCTGTTTTTAATAGAAATTATGAAAAATATGGTAGATCTTGCATGAGTTTTTTAAACCCCATAAAGTTCTATGTCTATGTAATGACAGCAGTGTGACAGATATTCACAGCACTCCTACATGCCTCCCCCACTGCAATTAATTATACAATTTCTTTCCACCCTCACAACATTTGTTCTTTCCTTCTCTTAGCTAGCTGTAGATACACACAAATCTCTGCCAGCGCAAGTCTAAATCTGGTCCATCATGTTCAAAGAGAGTTGTAAGTCTTGAAAGTATACAAAAATGGATTCTCTTATGTCAAAGTAGCAGTAGTCTGCCACAGTTGAAGCTGTTAGTTTTAACGTAATTACTGGGAAGCAGCCATAACTACTGTTGCACCTAGTGACAAACATAGTTATGGGTAGAACCTAAGAACCACATACATAAGTTGTTGTGGGACAGAAGAGGAAGTTGTCTGATTTATCTTAACCAGAATTGTTGTTTGAGTTTTGATTTCTAATTATTTGTGTGTTGATCCAACAGTTCTGGCTTTTGCAGCTTGCATTCAGAAGGGCTGTAGGTTAGCAATGTGTATGTTAAGTTTGCTTTTATTTTTGTCTTATTTTAAATATTTTAGAAATGAGTTTCCCTTGCTTAGCTAAAGTCTTATTGAAATATAGGCATTTGGTGTACAGAGACTGCTTGACTTTGGGAAAACATTTATTTGTAAATAGTTTTTAGCATCAAGTAATAAATATTGTGTAATTTAATATTAGGAGGATGGATCTTAAATCATTATTCAGATTGGAGAAAACAATTCTTTTGACTATTTCTAGCGTACTGGTAACTGCTGAATATTGCTGTTGCTTAGTAGTGAAATAATTTTGGAATGCAGAGGATTTAGTTTACTGTGCTTATACAAAGTAAATTTTATATGCGTGTTATTTCAGCCACTCATTATTTTGAAGAATGTATAGATATGAGCTTCATTTATAAAATAAACAACCTGGGACTGAAACTGGCTGATAGCTGATGTGGACACCAACTTGAAAATTAATTAATTAAAAGGGAAATTCCTTTGTATCATGCTGAATGAAATTTTGTTTGATCAAAAGGAAGCATGTAACCTAGAAAAATTTCGAACTCCATTAAAAAAAAAAAGACAAAATAAAAAATAATGTCAAAATATTTAAAAACCTAAACTTCTAATTTGAAAAACAAAAAAGAAAATATTTCTTGAATTCTTTTGAGAGGCACTGTTTGCCAAGCTTGATGCAAATTTATGAATAGTTTTCATGGATACAAATCTACTTTTTTGTAATTGCTCATCTGAAAATTTTTAATTTGCTCTAACCAAGGCATTTTCCATAACAGGAAAAACAAGTACAGATGTGTCAGATGGGTCAGTTGTATGATTCCAAGTCTGAAGTTGTAAAAAAATGAACCTGATTCCTTAAATTATAAGATTGAATGAAAAATTTTATATAAATCTTATTTGATTGTAGTATTTTTAATTTTTGCCCCATTTGCAACACTCTCATAGTTTCTTTTGAAGTCTTTGAATAAAAACGTATTTTTGTAAATGGAAGGTGTGAGTCTCATGCATAATTGCTTTCCGTCAGAAGCTGGGATTTATGTGCCACCTCACCCACCCCCTCTGCCCTCAACCAGTAGCAACAAAACCTGAACAGAAAAAAACTGTTCCTTGAGCTTCAAGATAGAAATTTGTATACCAGTCATGCCACTGAAACAAACTACTGGGTGTAATTTTAAAATAGCTTGCAACATCATTGGCTAAGCTAAAATGATGAGAACGGAGATATTCCAGTGCATTCTTTGAGGTGTCTGTTGTCTTTTTTTTTTTCTTTCCTGAGAATTTACTTTTTAAAAAAGTGAAATAATATTTTTACCTGCTCCTTTGCCTCTTCCATTTCAATAGCCATATATTGAAGAATGTAATGTAGCGTAAAGTGGCTTTGGTTTTATTTTCCTTTTCTTTTTAATATTTTTAAAGCATGTTTCATACATATACATATTTCTACTCTAATGTTAGTGAAGAAGAATATTTTCCTGTATAAGGGAAACTTGCAATCTCTTTAGTAAAAACTACATTATTTTAAATTCAGTAATTTCAAGCATCTATTCTTCTCCAACTTTCAGTGTTACAAGCTACAAAGGATTAGAAAATACAGTAAGTCTGTATTCTCTAATGCAAGATGTCATTTAGTTTGGAATCATCGCAAAACTACTGTATTTGCTGCTTATGGTAATCTACAAAAATTATGTCCCTGTGACTTAACAAGGTGAAAAAGCATTTAAAAATAAATGGTTTTGATTCTCTTTACTTTGTGGCATCTGTCCCTCTTTGTCATTGCCTTCCCATGTCTTCATTAATTCACCCATTCACGATAATAATTTAATATAATTTCGGTCCTATCTGAAAATTTGATTTAGATTTGTGCACTGAATTTCTGTGCTAAAACTGTCAGTCCTGTGGTCATAAACGCTCAGTATATTAGTAGATTTTAAGTGAGAAAGTGGCTACATCTAAAGGAGTTTTAAGTTTATTGCGAGCTTTTAAAATTTATAAAAATAAAAAGATGCTTAAGAAAAGAGAAGAATTACCATTAAACAAAAGCAGGGCTGTAAGTGTGTAGCCTACATTTGCATGCTCTTAACTGACTATGTGCCTAATAAGGTGCAAATATTAAGAGAATTAACATCTGGGCATTTATTAAAACAGTGCTATTTAATGACAGAACAGATTCAAAGTATATAACTGTACAGAATTCTACTATTGGCAGTACTTTTTTCCATTTGAAATAACTTATAAAAGCCATGATTTCAAAAGGTTATTTTCTTAAGGTTTTGCATTTTTCATTTAGTTTAAATTGTTGTTACAAACTGATAGCTTCACTAAACATGAAGGTAGTATCAAATGAAATGTTTTGTTGTTTGTTTGGGGTTTTTTGGTTTTGTTTTTTGTTTTTAGAGTATGGTAGAGTATGGAGTTGCAGAATATCCATTAATGCAAAAAAGTCTGGTGCCATGCATGTAAGTCCCCTAATTTCGTCAACTAAATATCTTCTGGTACAGACCATGTGACTATTCAGGAATGCATGTTTCTATAAATTCAGTATGCTGTGTAGGCAGTGAATAGAGGGGAAAAAATAAGAAAAACAAATCATCAGATAAAAATATAATCTGAAATGAACATCATAAACCATAGTAATATAGTATAATTAGCTATGTTCCAACCTTAACTTGGGCAAAATCCTTTTGATTTTGATTTGTGTTTAATAGGGAGTGCAAGAGAAAGACCCCTGTACTCAAATGTAATACAAATGTTTTAGGACAAGTTACTGTGTTTTGAAAAACCTTAAAGTGTAAAAGAACAGTAAGATAAAATAGGAATGTTATTATTCACTGTGGGATTGATTTTTTTTTTCTAATGGTTTTTTTTTTTGTCATACCTATTGAGTAAAGTCTGTCTATAGTTTAGGTTTATATATTTGAGTACTGTGAAGTTTGTTGGTGCCTTTCTGTATAACTCAATATTTTTTTTTCTGTTTAAGGTACTTTTTGTTGAATTCAGTTCTTTCTGTTGAATCTCCTTTGCTTGCATCTGACCTTTATTTATGTTGATTTTGCTTCATTTTTTTCATTTACCATGCTGTTCAGTTTTTGGATGCCAGGAGAACAAAGGTTTGTCCACTATTTGCAGTCAATTTATTTTTCAAAATTCAGTATTGCTTATTGTGTTTTTTGTTTGCTTGTTAGAGATACAGTAATCCTGTTTACTAAACAAGTTCATAGCTTTAGTTGCCAAAAGAAAAAAAACCAAAACCAACCAGCCCCAACTCAGCCCCTCCCCAAAGGCCCCCTTCAATTATAGTGAGTGCTTTGATTGACTTCATAAAAAACAGTACTCTTGAGCACCATGAAGGGCAGAATTATGTTTAGTCTATGAAGTAATTTAGAAAACATGGAATACTGAGTCTTTCAGCTTTACAGGTACATATTGACTGTACTAATGGATGTGTCACTGCCTAGTGTTTGGGTTTGTTGGTTTGTCTTTATTTGCTATTTATTTTACCTGTAGCTGACACTATTTTGTGTGTGTGTTTGTTGTTGTCTTTTTTTTTTCTAGAAGCACTTGAAAGATTATCATTAGTCACATACATTTGCTATTTTATAAGGTCATTTGATATACTTTCATCACTGATTATAATGAATTTTTGTAACAGCATACAACAAAAATTTAATCCAAGAGTAATCCTACATTCAGATTCTAAATTGATTTTTTTTTCTTTATTTTCTTTGTTACAGCATCTGCAAATGACAATCCAGGCACTTCAAGATGAGCTTAGAACCCAGAGAGACCTTAATCATCTTCTCCAGCAAGAAAGTGGAAACCGAGGGGCAGAGCATTTTACCATTGAGCTCACAGAGGAGAATTTTCGAAGACTTCAAGCAGAACATGATAGACAAGCTAAAGAGCTCTTTCTGTTGAGAAAAACGCTAGAAGAAATGGAGCTTCGGATTGAAACACAAAAGCAAACACTAAATGCCAGAGATGAATCAATAAAAAAGCTTCTGGAAATGTTGCAAAGTAAAGGTTTGCCATCTAAAGGAATGGAAGATGACAATGAGAGAACTCGAAGGATGGCAGAGGCTGAATCTCAGGTTAATCACTTAGAAGTGATTTTAGATCAGAAGGAGAAGGAAAACATGCATCTTAGAGAGGTAAGGAAAAACTCATTTATTTTTTTAAAAGATAATTTCAAAGTACTTGCTGCAGTTTTAGAAATATGCTTTAGAGTATCCGAAGTTTTTGCTTTTTCTGCTTTCATTTTTTCATAAAAGAGATAACATGCATTTGTTTTACATCTGTAAAATAAACACATAACAGGATTATATGACACTTGAAAGCAGGTATAAAAAGTTATGGAAGAAAAGTAATTGTATTTGGGGCTTACTGTCTCTGGCATGTTGCTTTGCATAGTTTCTGTATTCTTTGTATTTTGACAAATCAGTGTTTGGCAAATGAAGACTAGAACTACTGAAGAGGGAAGTAACACCGTCTGCTATAAACTAAATAGTCATGAATGCATGCTCCTTTTGTGTTTGATTTTATACCCCTGTGTTTGAAATGAGTGTTTTTAAAATGTTTTGCCTTCCATATAAACAAAGGCTTCTGCCTATATGCATTTCTAATGTGTCATGCCCCGACCTTCTGGGTAAATATACTGCATAATGTTGCCATATTAAAACACTGAGGCGATGGCTGCACTGTACTTAGAGATACTTAATTTGATCCCAAGCCCACCTGCACCAGCTGCCCACATCACTTGTGAATGCATTTTTGGGACTGGATTTGGCATGATTGAATTAGTACAATTGAAAGAAAATCTGGCCTGGTGTCGAGCCCATCTGCCCCCTACATCCCAGCAGCATATCAGCATGATCATATGACTAGTGTCAGGCAAACAATACAGTGTGAATCTTCCTCAGAAAGACCCTGTTGCTTCCTGCTAAGGAGGGTGAAAATTGCAGGGCTCAAGTACGAGCTCCCCACAGTAAGGGGAATCAGGCAAACAGGTCTGCGTCCTTAGAAACTCAGCAACAGTGTAGTCTGACTGAACTCCCAGTCTAGTAAAAACACCTGACAGATCAAAGCATGAATAAAATTAGCATAAGAGCATAGAAAACTATTTTTGGCTCCTGTATATCAGTAAAGGTATGAATTCTAGAAATTAACAACAGCTATTTACATCTACAGAATGTTATCAAAATACTTTCTTTGCTATGGACAAATTCTTTTATGTTTAGCTTATGGCTACCTTAGTTTTCTTTTTTCTTCCCCCTCCCCCACTTTTTTTGTCTTCTCTAACCTAGAATATTTATTTAGGACTCAGTGGTATCTGGGGGGCCCATCTGAAGCTTGGAAACTAGAAAATTTGCAGGGCACAATGGTACATTCCAGTAAAGTTTTCTTGTGAAAGTGTGGATCCTGAATCATTTCACAGGCAGAATTTTAATTAAAAAGCGATGCTACCCATTGAAGTCTGAATGTCAATGGATCCTGAAAGGAGTTGCATAAGGAATTAATGATACTGAGATTGTGATGAGGGAGGATTGTGGAAGAAGTTCTACAAACTAGCAGACAAGTTTCTGGATTTGGATCTGCTGTTCTCAGAGTAGTACATACAGTCTGTTTCAAGGATGGATGATTTGCTGTTTATTACTTGTTTTGTTATGTGATTGTATTTCACCTGTTGCACCAGTATCACTTAAGTTTGTAAATCCAAATTTGGGTATGCATTGGACATGAATAAACTTACAGCGGAAATTTTAAGGCAGCTTCTGGTTAGCACACTAGTCAAGAGTAGTGAGAGAACCAAACAGAGCTTGAAAAGTAGATAAAATGTAAGCTTCTAAATAAAGTCCTTGGGCATCCAATTTATTGATTAGTCCAAGGAGTGCTGAAAGGAAATCACATTGCTACTTGTAGGCTGTGCATGTTTCTCCTATACTTATACTGAATTAGTTTTATGTTTCGGAGTTCTCCCTGTGTTACCCTCAAGGGCCAGGAAAAAAATTGTTTCTGCCTCAATTTATATGAAGATATAGAGGTTGTCTTTCCTCTGGAGTGCTGCAAGTATAGAATGGGGTTTACTGGAGTTTCTGCTTATGACATGCTGATATGTGTTCGTCACTGGTCAAGGTTTAAAAATTTACTAGGTTTGCTGTCTGGAATCTGTCCATGTCAGATTGGCAGGAACTGTGTAGTGATTTGGAGATTTTTGGCTAACAATTTTCTTGCTATTATAAGAATTCAAGACTTTTGGTGAAGTCTTCTGTCTCTCCAGCTCTTTTCCTGTTGCAGATGATATTTATCGGTTTTGATTTTTTAATTTTTTTTTCTGCAGATAAGTTTGTTATAGGGAGCTTGGACGTATGATGTGTAGGGTTTATGAACTCCTTAGAAACTAAATGTTTAGTAGATGCCTGCTTGTTTTTCCAGGAAATCTGGATTTGATTGTTCAAGTGGACTCTTGGAAAATGTTCTGATGTTCAAATTTTGTCTTTTGCTGTCTTATTAAAGGCAGTTGTCTGCATGCTTTGAGGGAATATCAGATATTCTGTATAGTTTTATCTACTTGTTAAAAATCCAAATGGATCAATTTTTCATCTTCATGTGTAGCTTGGTAAGTCCTTGTTATTCTGCAGTGCTTGTTTGAATTACTGTCACTGTATGTAGTCTTTGTCCTGCACAATACGATTTTCCAACATGATAAAGCAGGAATTACTGTACTGAATCTTCTGCAGTAGTCTGCTCAGTGGTTTGATATTTTTATGTTTTTAACTAGTATTTGTAAGTTTTTATTTGAACTGTGTAAATGACCTTACAGAGTTACTGGATTTTTTTTCCCTGAGAATGCTTTAAGCTAAACTGGAACTTGAATACACTGTTAATTAATTTCATTCATGTATTATTTATTATTCACTCAAATTGTGTTAATCTTCCTATATCTTTACCAAAATATTTGTCACTTTAGAACTTCACCTAACATATTCTGCTTTCTGTATTTTTACAGGCTGGAGTATAGAGCTCATGTGTTGAGTATATTTCTGATAAACTAGTATATTGTCATGTGTAATATACTGTTTGATCAAATCCTGAACACTTATTTCTGTTTTTAATTAAGATAAACTACTTTGTAGCAGCAAATTAACTTATTGAAGGAACAGAGTTTTCTAGTGTGTCAATATACCTTTAAAATGATAGCTTATGCTCTAGTCTCCAGCCAAAAGAGTGCTATCTATGGAAAAAAAAAAACCAAAAACGTGGTGGAAATGGTGTTGAATGTGGAAAAAATAACTGAAGACTACCGATTTTCTACAGCCTCAACACTACATTAAAAAGCATATATAGATAGACTTCTCATAAACTAAATACCAACAGCATAGTTTAAAAATATTTTCAATCTGAAGTTTTACCATTCTTGAAATCTAATTGTGTACCGTCCTGTTACCTTTTAAATCCCAGCTGGAGAAAGGACAAGACTTCTGTATTTTGCTGAGGTTTTGAACATGTTTTCTCTTCATGCAACCATATCTTTCTCCCTTATGCTGTTAATTTCTTAGTTCTTTAAAATAGTGCCAAAGCAGGAATCTGTCTTCTATCTTGTTCCTTCATAGTCTTCTAGATCTCTCAACATGGTGGAATAGAAAGCTAACAGATGAGAAGCAGAAGAAACTGATTTTGTCATTAATAATCACTGGTGGGTGGAATTTTGCCTAAACCAGAGAATTAAACTAACATGCTGTGAGAGAAACTGAGGCAACTAGTTGTGAAACATCGGCAATTAAGGACACCCTCTTCTATACACTCATGTTTCCAATGGCTGTCAGTTCCATCTCCTTGACCTGCACCCTCCTGAGCACTGATCGTATTAGGAATGGAATAGAAAGGGATATGTTCTTTGTTATTCCAGAACTCCTTTTGTATAGCTAGTAATTTTTTAAAAGTTCACATTAAGTGGTAGATAGGAAGAAAGATCTTTCAGTCTCTGCCACTTCATAAATTATGCAATGTTTCTCATATTCATTTTCTGCCCATTTCACATAAGCATGCATGTTACCAGGAACCAATATTCTATTGTTTTGGTTCAAAACAATTTGCTGAATATCTAAAAATTATGTAAAAATTTCTCTCTTAAGCTATTGATTGTTTCTTTTTTCTTTTCCTGTGAATAGACATAGCAGAATTTCATACTATAGCTGCCTTCAAAGAACTGGAATTTCTCCAAGCCTTAGATAATATTTCTTAGAGAAGATACAGTGAAGAGACATGCAAATAGCTAGTGTACTAGAGGCACAGGAATAACTCCAGAAAATAAAACAACCCATTTTTTTTTTCTTTGTTTTCACATTCTTAGTAGATTTGGACTGACATTAGCGTGTTAACTACCTGGCCCTCAAAGACTGTACCTTTCTGCAGTGTGCAACCTACTGCATCATTAAATGTTGTTTCACAGAGACAAATGTGTGATGATAGGTTTACTCAAGTTTTGTGTTTGAAGGCCTTAGGAACGGCAAATTTGAGGCTTACTATACAGGAGGAGGAGACTTCAGCTGAAGTTGGAATCCTGCTCTTTTACAGGAATAGCAAAGAATGTCAGTGTCAGTAAGGTTAATTAAAATGTTGGGAAATAAGCTGTACAAAAACTGGGATTAGATTTCTTTCCATGTATTAAGGAATTTACAATATAGGCAATAAGCTTTCACAAGGATAGCTAGATTCCCAGCTTTATGTTAGTTGTAACAAAAATTTCCTTAGTTGCTGATTCATAAAGCAAGAAGGAACAAATAAAACTCTGACTGAATAACAAAAAGCACAAGTATATGTTTATGCTTCAGTTTTGGAGATGCAGCCTATTTGAGGAGAGAATGTTGAGCTCTTTTCCATGGTTTCTGAGAACTTCTGCCCAGTTTGCACTCAGTTTTCCATCTTTGAGTTAGACTGAATCCTGTGTCTGTAACTAACCTCACTCAAATATTTTTGTTAATGTTTTTCAAAGATAACTGAGTTTTATTGATATCTTCTTAGACAAAGCTATATAGCATTTCCTTTGATAAGGAAATAATGTATCCTGTATGGAACAAAGTGGTCTTTGCAAATACACACATGAAGAAAAAGGACATTCTTGGGCCAGGCAGTCTCCCTATAAGTATGTTAA